ATGATCAGTCACCAGTGGAGAGGTTTAAGGCCCTGAATAATTGAGGAGAAGAAAAGGAGAGCAGAAAGCAGTGGTGGTTGCCATGAATGGGCAGGACTGGCCTGAAGGAGCACTCCTGACAGGAAATAAAAGGGGTTGGTGTGTAAACTGAAGGAAAGGATAAAGCCAAGAAAGAGTCTAACAGAATGCTAATGATGGCAGAGTCTTCCTCTGAGACTGGGCCTAGCTAAATTTCCTCAACTAGCTGTCTTTCTGCTCAAGTTTTCTGTCTGACATTGCACATGTTCATTGGAAGCAGAGATAATACTATAGCTCCTCATGGAGCGATTGTGCATATGAAATGTAAGGCCTAAGCAAGAGTATTGTCCGAGCAACCTCACTTGTGTGCTCCCCTCCTGAACACAATGCCCATCAGCTGCCCCATTCTGCTCACACCCTAGTACTCCTCCCTTGCAAGCCTGTCCAAGCCTCCTGAAAATGTGTGCCCCTCAGTCACCTCCTGAATGACCTATGAATACAGAGCTCTGAGCTGGGGTGCTTTGGGCTGAGAATTTTGGAGTCTAGTGTGGACAGACTCCTCCCATAGAGGGGATTTGCAAGAAGGGTGATCCCATCATTTGGCCCCAAGAACTACTCACTAGGGCAGAGTTCAGCTGGAGGTCAGAGCAGGGTCTCTGAAGCATGGGCCCCTGGGTTCCTGTAGAGAGTGTGCCTGCCACCTACTAGACTGTTGGCTTAATTCAAGTTCTCTTTTCCTTCCCTCTTCCCATCTTTCCTTAACTGGCAGTACTCTTCCCTGCTAGTCCCTTTTTCTAGAATCTAAAAAAACGAAGGCAAACAAAATGAATTCCCATTTCTAAGCTCTCTGCCTCTTAGATTAAAATCTGCTCTATAAATAAAGGCTCTTTTGTTCCGAACATTGTCACAAATCACTTTTCTTCTGCATATCCTCTGACCCCCCCCTCCAACAAGAAGGTTGGGGAAAAACCCTTGCAATAATCCCCCCAACAAGCCGGTAACCACCTGAAGCCAAGAAAAAGAAGGCCTGTCCTCCACTCTCCCCAGTGTCTCTCTGAGACACCCGGCTCTTTCTCTTATTTTTTCCTTTTTATTTATTTATTTTGCTATCTTCTTGAGTCAAATCTGGAGATGCAGATTCTTTCTAGGTACTATGTCAGGGGAATTCCAGGGCGAGAGTGGGAATTCAGGTAGGACAGACAAGAGCAGAACAGCAGGCATGTGAAAGAGATGACTGTGTGCTCTGGCTTTTTCTCTGTTGTTTAAACCACTAGTAAGACCCCCAAAGATGCTTACAGTGAGTAAAACAGCTATGTATATGGTACATATTCTACTGTTCCAAAAATAAAAATGGATCAAGTATGTAAATAACTGAGCAACAGTCTTCATAGGTTTATATCTGCTCTACTGCCCCAAAATGGTGAGCAGAACTATTTTCCTTGTTCATTTTCTCATTCATCAAATTTTACCAACAGGTACTAGGAGTTACATGGTCAGGCTAGAATTTCTATAGCAAATTATAATTCCTCTCTTCTGCTATGAATGCATTACATTTCCTGCTATAGAAATTCTAGAACCTTCCCACCCATGAGAATTTGAAGATTAATGGTGCATGGAAAAGAAAAGGAAAAAGGTTGTGGGTACTTAACAAATATTTGCTGAACAGTGAAACAATATGTAAATGTAACCCCAAGTTTATGTTTGCTAATCTCTTCAGAAGAGTGCCTAAAGGAACTCGTTTGAGGTCACGTAACATAAAATGTAATTTGGTCATTTGGCTTTCTTTAATAGCAATGTGATCACTAGCAGGGGTAAAAGGGAAGAGTCCTACATCTTCACCAGGAGACTACGTGAGACTACCTGGTGTTATGTCCCCTCTCACATTCAAATTCAATTACCTCGTGCATCAAAATCAAGGCTGCCTTGGTGTCACTTACCATCACTTAAATAAGAAGTAGAATACTGCATCTGAAGATTCAGTTCTACAGCTCAAACATGAAAGCAGTAATTTTGTAAGCACAAACCCCACAATTATCTCCTGCAATAGATACTCACTGTAAGACCCAGGTCTCCTTTTGGTCCTTGTAAACCCTACTTAGCAGAAGAAGAGTAAAAATTAACAATAGTTCAGTACCATTTACACTATAAAAATCACAGTAGTGAGACTTTAAAAATCATTTCTTGCCTGTTTTCCTGGGGACCCAGGTTCTCCAAATTCCCCCTTTTCACCTTTCTTTCCTACAGCTCCCTGTTCTCCATGCTCACCCTTTATAGAATGATAAAAAGAAAAGTTTAAAATGTGACTATTAATGTCAAGTAAGAATATGCTACAATTTGGTTTACTTGTACCTCATATGAAGACCTGGGGTTCTTATTGATACAAAATTATGAAATAAAAGTTTTGAGGGCAGTTTATTTACACTACTTCAGGTACTATAAATAACCTAATTTATGATGATCCAGAGACCTCAACACAAAGAGACCATGAGATACTGTCTGATTAGCCCATTGCCTTTGGGAAATTCAGCTACTAAGTAATTTATCAGAATCCTGAGTTATATGGTAACTCTTATATGTACAGTGTAAGAATTTATTCCATCATTAACTTGCTCTTAAAAATAAAAGAAAGAAGATTTTATAAAACGAGTGTGTTTACACGTAGAAAAAGCAGTATCTGGGGATTCATTTCCAAATAGATTTTTCAAGAGTTTAAGAAGTATGAAACAGATATTAAAGCTCTTTCAAGGCCAAGATTAAGCTCTGAAGATCTCAAGCCCAGGCATTTCTCTGAAATTCAGAAACACTCACCTTTTGGCCTGGGAGTCCATGGCCCAGGTTGCCTTTTGGCCCTGGAAATCCTTGAGGTCCTTGTTCCCCCTGCACAGGATGTAGAAGATGGGTATTCCCATTAGTTTCCCAGGAGAACTGAGAATATTTTCAGAGTTAGAAATATAAAACTTCAAAACTGCATTATAACATCATCTATATTTTAGGAGATGATACAAACATAGAGATATAGATCTAAATATAGAAATAGAAACAGATACAGGTACATACATGGGCTCAATCATGACCTAAACACTTAACAAGTAAATCTGCGATAAAAATAAGGACCTTGAGTTATAAGTTTTGCTTTTTCTATGGTGTAAGTACTCCTGCTTCAGCCAATTTTAAGCCATGACCCTGTCAAGCAATTTATAAATAAAAAAATAGTGTTTCAGTTGTGATATTAAGGGTGGATTTTCATCTTTGCCTGGTTTACATTTATTTGTATGCTTAAAACACATCTTATCTAAATATTAAAACAGAAACGCTAAATCTACTGGAAGAGAAAGTAGGTACAAATCCTGAAGACACAGGGGTAGGCAGAGACTTCATGAACAAAAACAAAACTGCACAGGAAATACTTCAAAGGATCATCAACTTGGATCATATCTTTTTAAAAAAGATTTTTGTACCTCATAGCAAATCACCAACCAAATAAAAAGAAAACCCACAAATTGGGGGAAAAATTTAGCCAACTACCCCTTAGATAAAGAACTTCTATCTAGAATACATAAAGAATTTTGTAAAAATCTGGCCCCCAAAATTCAAATACCCAATCAAAACATGGGTATCTGAGATGAATACACACTTCTTAGACAAAGAAATAGACATGGCAAGTAAATATATGGAAAAAATGTTCAACATCATTGCTTATTTGAGAAATGCAAACTCAGACAGCACCGAGATTCTATCTCACCCCAGAAAGAATAGCTAACATCAAGAAATCAACCGATATCAAATTCTGGAGGGGCTGTGGGGGAAAAAGAACCCTTCTCCACTGTTAGTGGGAGTGCAGACTGGTAAAACCGATATGGAAATCAGTATGGAGATTCCTCAAAAAACTAGGCTCAGAGGCTTCATTCAACCCAGCTGTTCCTCTCCTGGGTATTTTCCCAGAAGAATTTAAAACATCATAGCACAATGATACATGTGCACCCATGTTTATAGCAACACAATTTGTCATAGTTAAATCTTGGAAACAACCCAAATGTCCATAAACTGAGGAATGGATCAAAAAGATGTGGTTTACTTACACAAAGGAGTATTACTCAGCTATAATAAAAGATAAACTTAAGGCTCTTATAGGTAAATGGATGCAACTAGAGATCACACTCATAAGTGAAATAAGTCAGATCCACATGTGGAAACATCATATTGTCTCCCTAACATAAGAACATGAAAGAGTAAATAAAGTCCAAAAGGTACAATAGATATTGTGAAAGAGAAGAAACTGCTCAGAAGGAAGGAACAACTGGGATGAGGGAAAAGAAAAAAGAAAGATGAAAGGAGAAAATATACATGTATATACACAGGATAGCTTGCATAATTGTGTTGCTGATTTCTACTGGTCTATTGAAAGGAACCATTAATTTTTGACCAATTTTTTCATGCTTTTATCTGATAATCTGAACAACTAATTTGAAGGCAACAATATGTAACATAACAATCACTGTTGAATTCTTATCATCTTGTTTAGTGAAACTCTGTATCATTTTTAATGTTTTTCTTTTTTTTTTTTTTTTAATTTTATTTATTTATTTATTTATTTATGGGTGTGTGTGGTGTGTGTGTGTGTGTGTGTGGCCAGCTCAGCCCACCAGGGGGCGGGCTGGCTGGCATGTGGTGCTGGGGGATTGAACCGTGGTCCCTGTGCTTTGCTAAGCTTGCTCTAAGTAGGTGCTTTAGACCACTGAGCCATCTCACCAGCCCCTAATGTTTTTCATATTATTTATTATTTTAAAAAATATAAAACACATCAGTGGAGGAGAAGAAAATGCAACACAGTTGCACCACCCCTCCCATTAACACAAAGGAGTTGTTTATGCAATCCACTGTTGATTCCATTTCTAATAATTTAGAAGAACACGCAGAACTTCTTTTCCACTTTCTCCTCCACATCTTAACATTCTCTCTTCCTTGCCTAAATCACACAGAGCAAAAAGGCTTAATGATGTTGCATATGAAATAGCAATAATCACTAGCAAATGTACAGAGTCCTAGTACTGATGTCACTTGGGTGCCTCCTTAAGTGCGGGGCATCATTAGTGCTGAGTCTGTAGCAAACATCTGAAAGACCAGGGATTCCTGAGGATTGATCTGTCTGTCTTGTCATGATTCTCAAAGGTCTCCTCCGGACCACCCCACCAGAAGCACCGGAAGCATGGCAAAATTTGAGAGACACTACTTCTGAAGGTCAGATTGGCCACAGAGCTCCCTTGCAGATGACAGCAACTTTGGTATCTCTGCATTCCTGGGCCTCCTTTACCTAGCTCAGTGGATATCAAGGTTTTTTTTTTAAATTAGAGTCCATTGTTGATAAAATTGTCATAAGGAGATATTTCATACCCTCAAAGCACATAGACTAAGATAAAATCTGACACCATATTGAAAAACAAAATAGTGCAGATACAGTTGAAATCTCCTACGTATCCATCTTCAATCTTATTTCCCCAAGAGAAGAAATCTCTGAAATTTGTATTTACCATTTGCTCATGCTTTTATACTTTAATTACATGTATATAAAACAGAAAGATAGATCTTTTGCAAGTAGGAAGGGAACCAAAAGATGGAAGGAGAAGTAAAGGGAGGGAGAGAAAGAGGCATAAAAGGAACGAAGGCACATTGTGTGAGTGTACCTGGTCCCCATGATGAATGTAATCGTCATGTCCTGCTAGCATATACCACCAAAAGTAAAAATTAAAAACTTTTAATTAAATGATATATCTATGCATACAATTTGTTCTTCAAATCTTAACATTATTTGAAATTTATCTGTGCATGTGTGTATGGCTTTATTTTGTTAATTTTATTTCCTGAATGGTATTCCATTGGAGAACTGGATTACACTTTATCCATAACCCAATTGCTGAGTGTTTTAGTTGTTTCCAATATTTCTATGTGAAAAATAATACTTGCATGAATATACTTTCATGTACCTTTATGTATAGAATAAATCCTTCGATCAAAATAATAGAGAGAAGAATATAAAATAAAATACATACAAGTAAATATTCTCTGAAGTAGAGCTGCAGTGCTCTATCCTGGTATCCTATCATCCCACAAATTAGCGTAACTGAACACTAAGGTTCTTTTTATCCACTAATATTTTTGTTTTTTTCTTTCTTTATTTTCTTTTTCTTTTTTGTATTTATTACAGGGTCTTCAGGGTCTCACTATGTAGATTGGACTCGTAGTTACCGGCCAGCGTTCAGCCTCCCAAGCGCTGGGATTACAGGCACGCGCCACCATGCCCAGTCTTAATCTCCATCTCAGCGTGCCCCGGGGGCAGGGCTATGTTATATATTTTTTTAGCATTCAGGTTTTTTTTTTTTTAACATTCAGGGTTTCATTTTGCTTTTTTAGCATTCAGGTTATTATTTATTAATTTTTTACACGTTGTATTCTTAAATAAATTGTGAGTATGAGGTTATACTCCTGCCTCCCCAGCTTAACAGAAGGGCTTCAAGTATGTTCCTCACAATAGCTGGAATTTGGAGAACTTTTCCCCCCTTCAACAGGCGCAGGAGGAATTCCATGTCTTTGTAACAATTATCCAGAGTGATTATTTCGTTTACAGCATCATAGATTGCTACAGCAGCCAATACAAAATTTGTTCCAGAAAGGTTGATGACCAACTAGCAGCCCTTAAGACGGAACACAATTTCCTAACAGTGTTAAAAGCAACTGTGGCTGCAGTACCCAGTCCTGAGGGAGAACTCAGAAGGGAGCTAATTACCATACTGGGATCCACTCTGTGTTCGGGAATTCATTTCGTATTACTTTGCAGTACAGACTTTTTCTGTATAGTTATTAACACTGTAGATATTTCAAGCAGCTGGGTAACCTATAGTTAAGATTTTTCTTTTAAATTACCAGTTTCCCTTCAAAATACTGGAAAGCTTCCTGTAACTCTCAAAGATTCTCTGGCTAAAAGCCTGAAGCCACCAAGCCATGCCTTAGCCTCCTAGAGGTGAACACTGTCAAACCAGATTTCTTTCTTTGTAAAACTCAGGAAAATAGTAAACAGTATGGGCCATGGGCAACTGCAGGAAAGAACCTGTCTACTGGAAGATAGAATTAAATCCAAATTTCAAACCTCACCTTTTAATTACTATATCACTGTACTGTACTCTAAAAATCAGTCCTATTAAAAATGGTAGTGATTTTCAGATGATTGCTTGCTTATTCTTTAAGAAAGAAACTACTTGAATGTTTTGACAAGTTCTTTACTTTTGTACTACTGATATATCAAGAAATATTTTCTTAGTAAGGCACACTAAGAAAAAAGTTATACACCAGACACCTAGCTTCTGCTCTCAGTGTACAAAAGTAAAATCAATCAATCAATCTTCTCACTTTTAACAACAAAAAAGATGCTAACTTATCTGCAAAGACACAACCTTTCTTGTGTCTCTCAGAGATGTGAACAATTTCAGGGCCACTGGCCAACCCAGCATCTAAAGAAATAAGACCTTCCAGAGAGAGAGACAACATCCGGGCATTTATTTACCTGGTATGGACAACAAGAGTTATACAATCTGATGAGAAAAATTCAGCTACAATGCTTACAAAGTGCTAAAAGCCAAAGATGAGGTGGCATGAAAGAATAAGACCCTGGACCTGCAAGGGTCCTATTTCCAGAGACCTTTTCCAGAGACCTTGTCAGTGCTTCAGAGAAAGACTGGGGACAGGTGGGAATCTGTAGAAATCTCCTCGTGGTGCAGGCCTGGCGCAGGAAACATTATCTCCAGTGCCTTAGTCCGTGTGGGCTGCTATCATAAAATACCACGAAACAGGTGCCTGGTGGTGGCAGCAGTCTATAGTATTCCTTA